TACGAGGGAGAGTTAAATATAATGGACATTGCTATCAGCTAGGTATTCTCCATAGCGCGTATTTCCACACTAAACTACAACTTACTGGCTCTTTTTCTTCAGCTGACTATAATATGGTCTTCCCATGATTTTTCCTACAGTATAGGTACATACAGTGAGGACATAAAGTCCGTCGCCCCTCCTCTAACTTTTGGACCGCTCGGTATATTGCAACGAATTTTAAAATGATGATATGTGGCCAAATTCTCCTTTTTCTGAAAAATAAATGACAGCTTCAGCTGTCAAAATGACAGCTGAGCGCAGTTTTGAATAGAAGGCGGTGTCGAGTGATACATCGTTTTAAAGATCCCTTTATTCTTAATTTAATCCATGATTATGAAAACATTTGGTTTAGTGGTTTTCAAATGATGACGAAACAAAAAAGGCTTGTTTTGGTCTTATATTTTTTTTTAAAATAATTGAATCATTATTTTTAGTACTTTTGTTTTTTTTTGAGTGACCAATGTCATTACGTCATTAGGTATTTATTACTAAAAAAAAAAAAAAAATAATTAATAAAAAACCGGTAAATTTTTTTTTTAATTTTTTTTTTTTATGAGTTTATGAGCAGAATAGCCCTATGTTTTTCTGTCATCATTTGAAAACCGCTAAACTAAATGTTTTCAGAATCGGGGATTAAATTAAGAGTAAAGAGACCTTTAAAACGATATATTTCTCGACACCGCCTTCTATTTAAAAAAAACGTTGTAAAACTGCGTCCAGCTGTCATTTTGACAGATGGAGTTGTCATTTGTTTTTCAAAAAATGGAGAATTTGCTCACATATCATCATTCCAAATTTTGTGGCAATATACCCAGCGGTTCAAAAGTTAGAGGGGGGCGACGGACTTTATGTCCTCACTGTATGTATATTGTATACAGGGTGTCCTAAAAAGATACCGACAAACTTTAAAGGGTAGTGAGGGACATCAAAACAAGCATTTTTGTTTATATAAACTGTCTAATCTTGAGAAGTATTCAAAATTAGCCATAAGAGAAATTTATAGGATTTAGTTAAAAAACCATAAAGTGGACCAGTTTGATTATATTGACCTGCATTGACGTAACCATGTAATATAAACAATAATCCAATATTGTTATTAATTAACTAGCAAGTTTTAAAATACCAACCTAATTGCAGCAATCTGCAAAATCATCATCATTCCAAATTACGTTTATTTTATTAATAATTTTTGTGTATAAATATCGGCCCATTTCAAATAATAAATTAGTATCAAACCTTTACTGGTGTATTACACACTTACCACAAAACCCTAAGCCTATACCCAGAGTGTGAGGCTGCACTCTACCTAAAGACGAAAACCCTTCACAGTCGTCACCTCTACAGGGCACTGTGAAAATACCGACACCAAGGTTCTCCCATATCAAAAGGGAAATCTTTCATTGGTCTTTTTTCGTAGTGCGCACGAAGTGTTTTGCGATCGTTGATAGACTTCATCGATGATGCAGTTGGGAGTAGCTTCTATGGTTCGAGTCGTAGTCGGTGCACAGATGAATGCATCTTGACTGATGCTGATGCAATTTTTTAGTTCTGCTTCACTGAGCTGGAAGTATAACTGGGAATTGTAGTCTACTGCAATGAATTCGTTTGGCACATCGAGTATCCAGTAAGTTTCTTTTGTTATTTTGGTTGGGATTGGTGTTGCCTTGATAAGCACAAACTCGTTGTTCTCTGTAATGATGAAGTAGCCAAATATGTGAATGAAGTCCTTGCTGTGTTGAACTTTGGTCTGCAGGATTGGGTATGAGATTATTTTAATGTTCGTTGGAAGTTTTTTGTTGGCTGACGCTATGGTTTCTTCAACGTAAGCTGGAGATATGACTTCAAATAGATGTCCACGGTGATAATGGATGTCCAAAAGTTTTTGATGGTAATCAGTGACTTCATCTATGTAATTTGCCACTATTTGGTACGCACTCAATAAATGAATATTAAGTTTGTTTTCGTCAATTCGTCTGTACCAGTTCTGCATTTCATTGATTGCTTCAAGGCCTTCATTGAGTTTCTTCCTGAATCTTTCTAGATGGTTGTTGATTCGTACCTCTGTCTGATTAAATGTAGCCAGAGCATGTAGCATAAACTTCGCTTGATGATTTGAGGTCTTGATGAGTTCCTTTTGATTTTTGTCTAATTCTTCAATGTCTGCGTACACTTCATCGTTGACTCCAAATACTGATGTGAGCAATTTTCCCATAAGTCCTCGCTTATTACGATTGGTCATCACGTTCTGCATCCCTCTGTTCATCCAATCGACGTGTTGCTGTTTTTCTTGAAGGTGGTGAATTAGCGATGAACACTCCGTGTTGGATGCTAATTCTTTCCATTTTGGAGCTGTTGCAGTACTACAAATTTCAACTCCATGTATATTTTACAAAAAACCCAAGCCCTTAGGCTTACGCTTAGAGTTCCCTTCCGAAAATCTTGCAAACCTAGGTTTATTCCTCATAAAATTTTGACAGTGCCATGCTTATATACTCAAAAGTGTTTGCCTGGTCTATAGGAAATACTATGACCAACTTTCTTCGGTAAGGCACTATTCAGCTAGGCAAGCCAATAATATTCCACTGCCAATTCCCAGAAGCACCTTGATGAAGAAGTCTTTTGTTTATTTTTCCAAGAAAGCCTCCAATCTTCAATTTACTATCTAGCCTTAGATCTTCACGTTCATACGGGAGGTTTAGAAAGCGGGTGGGGAGTTACTCTTGACTAAAGCCTACTATAATATTGAAGAATTCTTTGGAGACACTTTGTGAACATATTATTTTTAACTCTGCTAAAATTTCAAATTGTTCTGATAGATCTTAAGTTTTATAATTTTATTATTTAATTCGATATGCTTTGTCAATGAGAAGTTTTTTCTGGACAATAAAGTACTTCTTAATTTGATTTGATTACTTCCTATTACATCTACATACATAATACTTATAAATCCTCAAGTCAGACTTATGAAAAATGGAGGAAGAAGTAATTTAGAGTTGACAGGTGGGGTTTGAGACGTAGAGGGTTTATATTGACAGGCACAGACTTTTTATTATTGGACCCCTTCATTTTGTCTAACAAATTTTTACAGGGAAAATGAAGAAATGATCAGTATATGCGTATATATTGATCCAAATTTAAAAATTAGTGCTCAATGAACTCAATATTTGGTTAAGTACATCTTCAAAGATTTTTTTGCTTAGAGTGGTTGTTTTGAAATCACTGTCGTCTAAAATTAAGTTTGTTGCAGTTTTCACAAAAGTGAAAAACCTTCTACCGCATTCATGTTACTAAAAATTACCATTTTATTGGACTATTACCATATCACTGAGATACAATAGATTCGTCCCGGACATCTGGAAAAGAAAATTTGTTTTGTTCAGGCTTTCTCAGAAAATTTACAATAAATTTGTCTCCATATTTTCCAATCCCCAAAACTTTCCCACACACAATATTTCAGATATTTTTTGGTTGCAAATTTATCGAGCACAAAACTTCCAACTTCAATTTCATCTGTTTTTTCATTTTCATTTTGAGACATCTCCATCCAATCTACTTCATCTGCATAAGTAAGATCTAAGCTTTCATCGCTCAAGTTATTAGAACTGCTGCAACTGCTTAAGTTTTCTTTATCTTTTTTTTTCCAACACCAAATCATTTTTATTTTTTTCAGTGTTATCTGAATAAATGTTCCTTTTTCTGGTTAATGATTTTTTAACGCTATTTTCTTTTGTTTTCTTTTTTGTTTGTTCTGCTTCAATTTGTTTGTAGACTTGTGTGCTTGTCAAAATCCGGATCGTTTTCTTTTTTCGTTGTTGCTTGTTCTCTAATACTTTCGTTGAATTCGGGTATGGTTTTAAAATTTCTGGATTCTTAAATTGCTGTGGGGGAGTTCTTTCTGCATTGGACTTGCTACTTGATGGTGTCGGCTCTTGGGGCAAAGAATTATCGTTAAAACATCTGTTATAGATGAATTTGCCTCTTGAGTCTTGGATCAACGAACTATCATTGAAAGGCAGATCAGTTACCGTTGAAGCTATAAAATCATCGTCAATATGGAAATATTCCTGTTGTTTTAAATCCTGATTCGCAATTTTTAGATGAAAATGCAAGATGATAAATCTGTCCTTAAGATTTCCGATACACCATAAATTGTAATTCGCTGACCTGGATGATTTGTAAGCCAAGTCTTAAATGCATTATTGTAACGGGTCTTAAGAGTACCTACCGTAAACGGTTCTGTCGAGTGGCTGGGGTTTGTTGCTGGTATGCGGTGGAAGTGTTAGTAAAACCACTATATTTTTTTTAGCCAATTTTATTACTTCCAAAGAGACATGGCTATTATGGTTATCCATTATAAGAAGCACTGGCATATTTTCGGTTGGATGAGTGTTAGGATATAAAGTGCTTCATCAATTGCACAAATATTTCTGATGAAATCCACCTTGAAGGTGACGCTGCTTCAAACTTCCGTTCGGAGCACCTTTAAGCATGTGCTCTTTGAAATATTTTTTAGGGAAAATTAACAGTGGAGGAACTGAGTTGCCATCTGCATTAATTGCCCTACATAGAGTTATCAATGTGCCCCTTTCTGCGGAGGTGTTTCGTCCTACTAGCTTCAGACCTTTCATGGCCACCACTTTTCCAGCTTCCTGTACTGTTGTTAAGCCGCTTTCGTCCATATTGTAGATGTTGTTTGAACGAAATTTATATTTATCCAAAACCTGTTTTAAAGTGTCGAAAACTTTTGTACAACAATTTTATTGAAACCCATTGCCCGTCCTAGTGAAGCCGCCTCCGCAGTTCTAATTGAGAGAGGGTTCTTTTTTAGAAAATGCCAGCCATCTTATTCTCATTCCATAAAGGTGAAATCCGCTTGTTATTAGCAACTGCCAACTCATAAGCCAGTGATCGTACATTTTTTGGAGTAAGGCCGTGATGAAGTTTGGCAAAAAACTTACGAATAATCACACAATTGCTTTTCCTCTTCAAGAGAAAACACTTTTCTAACGGTGTAATTTGGAGTTAAGCCACCCATTATGTTTTCCACGTCGACATGTTTGAATTTTCCAATGTATCTTCTCAAAGTCGTAGGCACGTCATGACGCACAGGAGCAGCTATTACGGATAAACCATTGTTTTCAATTTCATCAAGAGCGTTTCTCATTGTTTGCTCTGTGGTTTTTCCAATACCAGTCTTTTCTAGCTTTGGGCGAGGCATTTTTCTCTGAAATAAAACAATAATTTGATTTTCTAAGTCGTATAGAACTCTGCTCAACAGTGGCCAACGCTATCTATCCCCATGAGCAGTGGCCACTGTTGGTTCCTCAAGATATGGCCACTGTTGGAAATTTACCACTACAAAATCAAACCTAACCCTTAAAAAATGTGCATAAATTTCATGTTCTTAATCTTTGACAGGACAAAGATAATTATTAGAAAAATTATTAGATACATTATTATTGTCCAGCCATTAATAGAATTGAAGTTGATTGATTGTTACTCGATTAGGTTGATCTTCTTTTTTTCGATTTCTAAGGCATTCTTGACGGAATTAATTTCAAATACTATTAAGGTTTCTCAGGCTCCTTGCAGAAAAAATTATTTGTATATTTTTAGAATCTTTATTAGGTAAATAAATCAGTCTGTGAATATTTTAAATTAATTCATTGTTATAAATAACAAAGATATTAAACATTAAAATTTGAACTGTTTACTTGCGCGCGAAAACACGCCATGGCTACTGTGACGTCATCGGATATCAAAGGAGAAGTTCGAGGCGTTTAGGCAAAGGGCAAATATAGTGTATCGTGGTCAATGGTGGAATTTAATGTGTTTTTTTTTTTTTTCGTTATTCTATTTTTATTTGTGTTCTTGTGAGTTTGGGTGATTACTTTTGTTTAAAAAGCAAACTAATTTTGTCAGCTGAACGGGTAATTACATACTACAGATACCATGGATGAAATATCTACTTCAACTACATAGTCCAACTTCGACTACTTATTACTGTTTCGTATCACTCTCGTTATCACTGGTACATTGTTCCTATGTGGGAAAATACTTCAATAAAAACTCCGGAAAAGACATTTATACAAGTTCCCAGGCAGGAAAAAAGAAGAAATTTTCCAAAACCACTACAGTTTTTGTGTATTTAAAAATCATCTGGTTAATCAAAAATATTATAAATAAAATATTTTTTTAGTTGGAAAATGCCATGGAAAACTATTTACGGTCATTACGTATTTACGCCACGGTCAATTACGTATTAGCAACTGACGTTCGTTTTTTTTGGTAATTTTTTGTTTCATCTGATTCGTGATTGTTAAATAAGGATGGGGCTATGGGTTATGGGTATTAAAAATACTATAGAAGCTACATTGGGGCAAATACCTCTTTGCCCTCACTGGCGTCACTCCTTTGATTTCTGCAGACAAAAATAAAACGCTATCGGAAATGAATTTGGCGGTCATTATTGAGTCGACTTTCGGTAAATTGGCAGATTGGGCCGTTAAATATCCTTGTTGAGTCATTTATTAATTATTTTCAAGGCTTAAAATAATCCACAAATTGGGTGGCACTTCCACAGAAACACAAATATCTAATAAACACGCCAAACAAATCTAAAATCACAATGAAAAAGGTAAAAGGCCCTTTTTAGCAGGCAAGAGGATGAAATTCCTCGTAAAAAAAGGGATGAGTGCAGACGAAGCCCGCAAAAAAGCCCTTGAGCCAATCAAAGAAAGGGCTACAACGTTTGACAAGGGAGGAAAAAGAGCCCGGTTAGAGGGAACAACCCCCGAAGCTCAAGAGAAAAAAAGAGCTAGGACAAGGGAAACGAGCAAAAATGCCCCGCCTACAAAATAGAAGCAAACGAGCAGCGGTGCTCCGCCTTCTAGAGCTCCGAAACCAACCTTTAGCCAGATAGCTGCAGGCATAAAGGTAGGAATACTACCTACAGATTTCCCAATTGCCTCTTGTCAGTAGAGCAAATACAAGCCACCATAGAGGCAATCATGGACAAGATCGTGGACGAGGTAGCATCGGGTTGCTCCATCAAACTGGGGTTGCTCCATCAAACTGAGGTTTCTGAGCGCCCACAACAGACCCGGCTGGCTTGCACTAGTTTGCGAAAACAGGTCCACCAAGCAGTGGCTCCAAACTGCAGTCGCCTCCACCAAGCCTTGGGAGGGAGCGTCGCCAAAGATGGCAGAGGAATCTGATATTACTCACTCTGTCGTCTTGATTGCTCGATTCCCAAGTAGCATGGATTTCTCCACGGAGAAAATCCTTATTCTCGTTCAAGGCCAAAATGAGGGACTAAGCGTAAAAAACTGGCGAGTCATCCGACGTAACGCCGAGGGCCACCTGGTTACATTAACCCTTTCTGTGGACAGTGCATCCGCAGGAAAACTCAAATCCGGAGGCTACGTGTTCAGTTACAAGTTCGGCCATACGACTATAAAGCCACGAAGCAGCCGGAGGACAACAATTGCGGAGCAGCCAAGCTCCTCAAAGACAAGCGGCGCCGAACCAACGGCAGGCACGTCTAAAGACTCGGTGTGTCACGAAGACGAAAGTGCCCAGGCGGGGTTTCAAAAGTGAGTGCAACTCCAGTGGCTTCCCCCAAACAACCAAAGAGAAACAACTCACCAACAACATTCAAAAGATGCCATCAGGGAGCTAAGAAGAAGAATGTTTGGACAAAAAACCAACGTAGAGCTTCAAGAGTCCTGTGTCAATGGAGGCTCTATAAAAGGCCTAAATATGTATTAAATCATGTAAGTTAATTTACATTAACCATGAAAGACCAAGGGCAGCATTGCTGCTGGACAAAAATTCAAAATTCTTAATGTTCCAGAGTAAAATCACTCAAGACTTGGCAGCTGCTTTGGTAAAAGTGCCAACGGAGAGGGGCTCAAGGCATATTCTCATAGCCTCAGCCTACTTTCCAGGTGATGACAACTCAGTACCGCCAGAGATCGTTCAACGACTCATCACGTGTAGCCTAGTGACTTGAGGGTTTCATACTTCGGTTTTTGAGTAAAAGCAAATCCTTTTCACAAGTGAAAGAACATGTCAGAATTAGTAGATTTTTGAACAGACCCACCTCAAAAAGTCATGCCGACCCCCCCTCCACCCCCTCAAACTTGATAAGTGGATTGTTTTAGTTTTTATTATTTTTCTCAAAAACGGTAAAAGATAGAATCGTCATTTTGGTGCCATTCGATAGAGCACAAAATTCTGCATAATGATTATGACCTTTTTTTCGTTTATGTCTTTAAGGTAAGGCCTCACGTGAACAAAAATGTGGTGGGGGGTAATCACAAATACACGTGTTGATCAATATCATTAAAACCGCTTGAAAACAAAAAAAAATAGAAGATACAAAAAATTAAGAATAAAGTTTTCTCTATCGATAGATATATAAAAAAATTTCCGTATCTTTCAAAATAAAGCCACCAGGGGCGTACAAAAAAGTAGTGGAGTAAGAGGAATGAATCAAAATAAATATTTTTGTCATACACTCCCAAAAACAGCTATTTTAAGAACTCATTCAAGTCCGTAAAATGCTGCTTTTTAGGATTTTTTTTCTATCTGGATGCACCTTTATGATTTCAAAAATTAAGGAAAATTTGCCAATTTTAGCGTTCTGAAGAATTCTAAAAAGCGTATGACAAAAAATAGTGTTTGTCACACATACTTAAACGAAGTTTTTCAGGACTCATCTGCTAGTTCGGTCTTGGCTAACGCCTCGTCCGGAAACAGCAATGCTTAGTCCTGAAAAACTTGATTTTAGGTACTTGTGACAAAAATAACTATACTCCTGGACAAAATTATCGCACCACCATTGCACATAAGCATCATAAGCAGTGGTGCGATAATTTTGTCCAGGAGTATATTTTGGTTATATCCTTTCAAACTAATTTATTTATTTTATTGTATTTATATGCAGGTTAACAATATTTTGAAAAAATCAGGAACACATTAGAAGATAGTAAAAGTAAATATAGGGTATTTTTTTCCCAAGATGGAGATACAGTTTTACAATGCATGTCGTGCGAATGACATGTTGCGACCAATAAGCGGCATTGTTTATGTTTCAAAGTTGACAGTGTCTAAATCTATCTTGGGAAAAAATACAGTATAAGTAAATTGTTTAACAATTTTAACAACTCAAAACGTCTTCACAGAGAAGCTAGCGTAACCTCTTACGTATTTACACCTAAAATTAATTGCAATATTCTGCACACAAGCACAGTCTAATGCATTTTAAATTTTTCAAAAAGCATTTACATTTTGGGCCACAAGTTTTGCATTTAAATTTTAATAAAATGCCGAATGATATTTTTTAATTTTTTGTAGTGTTTCATAGTGGCGTTTATTTATTGTTTTCAAGAGTCCATTCCCATTTAGATGGGTATGGAAGCTCTACCATAGTTGGCACAAATTACCCTTTTCGATACACGATTGCTATTTCAACGCATTTATTGTTGAAGGTAAATCGAGGGGTAAATTCTCAACGGTTCGGTTTTTTTGAGCAAAAAGGTGCATTTGACAAACGTCAATATCGTTGGTTTAAGAATGTTCGTACATTATGATAACGAATTTTTAAATTGAATTGTTCTGATGTAAGTTCTATTGGATACAGCACTAAACCAATGAACGTAGGTGTAACCTTCGCAAAGGTTTTTCATTAATTTTATTAGCAACTTTCATCAAGAAGTATACCTTAGAATCCTACCAGTGCCAAACTCAATCCATACGTAATTAGGGACCTAAGGTATATTTCTTGTACAGAAGATGGAAGTTGCTAATAAAAATAAAATTAATGAAAAAAGTCTGGCGTCTGGCTCTATCTTTTATTCACTCATTGACCGGTTGCAACACCACCTCTTCTTTTTTTGAAATCGAAAAAAGAAGTTCTGAGATGCTTGAGAAACTTTTGCGGAGGTTACACCTACGTTCATTGACTTAGTGCTGCATCCAAAAGAACTTACATCGGAATAACTTAATATTATTTCAAAATTCGTTACCATAGTGTACGATGAATATTTTGAAAGCAACGATATTGACGTTTGTCGAATGCAACTATGAATGCAACTTTTTGCTCAAAAAAACCGAACCATTGAGAATTTACCCCCAACAATAGATCACTGAAAAAAAAAG